TATATATATTTTTTTTTTTTTTTTTGGTGCACTAATTTTCTTTAAAAATTGAAAAGTGATTCATTGCCAATAAAATAAAGAAAAAAGTCAAAAAGTAAAATAAAAAATAATAATAAAAAATAAAAGTCAAAGATAAATAATCACATGACTGGAGATGAACAATGTTGAGATGTCTAAGGTGGATTAAGGAATGTCTAGATTAAATGACTAAAATTTCAGTGAATATTATCTATGATATATTTTCAAAGGACAAGGTTCGAGGTCTCTTAAATATAAGTGGATATTTACAAAAGTCATTATAATTCTTAAGTTCATGAGAATTCTCCCAAAATAACAATATTTATTAAATATTTATTCGATTTTAACAATATTGGTAAATATACATAAGAGGTAAAGATGGTTCAGTTCTAACATTGATCCCAAGACTTCTCTTAAACAACAATATATTATTTGTATACAGTCTTGGGTGCAAAGTGGTTAATTGTTCATGAGTATTATTGAATTCCTACTATGAATGATGACCTCAATCATTATCATGATTTTGAGTTAATTAACTTAACATTATGGTGTAAATAGATCATTATACATATTAGACTTAAACGCAACCAATATTAAGTAAAGGTTCAATACTTAAAAGAAAAAAGGACAAAGATTGAACAAAGTGTAAGAAATGCCACATGAAAAAAAATGAATGGATGTTAAGAATTATTTATAAGTCGATCAAATTCAATATAAATAAAAAATAATATAAATTCAAAATATAAAAAAAAAACAAATTTAATTTTTTTGTGTTGACCTTTCAATTTTTTTATCCACAAATATAATTTTTTACTTATTTCTTTAAATAAAATTCCCTACCTAGAGGAACCTACACAGAAACAACATATGTACATACCCAAAAAAGAAACAACATATATCAATCTTAAAATAAATTAAACTAAAAAAAGAAATGATTATAAGAACAAAAATACTTTCATTTAATATGTAAGAATGGATTATGACGCCAATCACTAAACCAAACAAAGTACTTGTCTATCCCATGAAGACAGAGGATTACAACCATAAATCTTCTGTAAGACACGCAACATAGGTATGAAACTAAAGTCAATTTGTTTCCCTTCATCTTTATTTTCGTCACATTTCTTGTGCAACAATAACTTTTATTATCGTAATTAATCATATTAATGGTACAAATTCTTGTTTGAATTAAACCTTGTTTAAAACTAGTATGAAATGTTCACATGAGTGGGGCATGATTAGTTGAATGTGGGTTTTAAACAATTTTAAAAGGAGGCGTTGGTGTTTATGCTTCTAAGACCCGCAAGATGAGTAGGGACAGGCAAGGTGTTATTTTGAAGAGGCAAAGTGAGAACAAATTAAGTATCAAACCCCTTCAACGTGCATCATTTCAGAAAGGAGCCACCAAGTTTTTGAAATTAATATGATATATCACAAAACGTTAAAATTGTCAATATTCACATTTTGCACAAATAAAATTATGTTTTTTTTTTTTAAGATAGGAAACATTACAAAAATTGTCGCAATGAAGATTGAACATAAGTCCTCATGCTTCTAAATAAAATTATTTAAACTTGTATCTGGTATATTTTTTTATATTTAATTTTACATAAAGTCATAAATCTTCAAATAATCTTATTTGTAATGTATTTTAATTGAAGAAATGTTTACGAAGCATTTTTTTGTTTTTGGCTAAATGGACCGCAAAATGTTTAAGCAAGCCCCTTGTTAAAGATAGTAAACTAAGAAGTATGAGTGGTGTGGGTAGATGCATGATGATGCATCAAAGTCTTATTAGTACTTAATTGTTCTAATTCATTTTGAAAGAAGATAGTTACTTATATTTTAAACTTTTTCAGAGTTTTTGAAAAATAAGAAAAATAACATTTTTTTAATCTAAACCAAATCGAGCATGTGCTTAATGTGAATAAGAATATAGTGGTAATTGACAAGTCAGAATTAAAATTTGTGAAGTGTCAAAAGTAGAAAGAATAAACAATTAACAAGTGGTGTTTAGTTTTAATTTTTGGGGTCGATGCGGGGTAGTTAGATTAATTGGGCAACATTTTTGTTTTTTGCGTTTGTTTTTAGACAATGACTTGTTTCGTTTAACGGAACTATACCGGCCTGCCGGGATATTTGAAGAGGTTCGACATTCCTCATTGAATTTAATAAATAAATAAAAATGATATTTTTAATACTTTTTTTTATAAAATGCGTTTTATTTGATATTTAATATAAAAAAATTATGCTATAAATTAAATTTAATATAATTTTTTAAAATTAATTATTATTATAAAAGTTAATAAAGTTATTATTAAAAAAAAATTATAATAGATGATAAATGACTTTTTGAATTAAATATAAATATTTCTGTAAGTACTCTTTGAGTTCGACGATATTTTTTTAATCTTGAATTGGAGTATTATATATTCTTCCTAAATTTTATGCACCAAAAATATTATAAGTGAGCATATATATACACACATGTATTTATTATTATTGTTTTGTATCATGAGGTCGTACCTTTTAGATTTACTAAACAGGCTTATAAAGTTTACTAGAATCCAGTGAGACCAAAACAGCACAAAAAAGTAATAAGAAAAATTTCTGGGCCTGAGATGGCCTTTATTAGGTAGTACTGTAGCGTGAATTGGTTTCATGAAACTGATGAAAGGGTGATGATATATACACCTCTTATCTTTTATAAATATATCTCTAATTTTTTTTTTTTTATAAATAAAATTTTTAAAATATCTTTCTAACTAAATATGATTATGTTGATTGAAACGTTAATTTTAGCATTCCGGAAAGTATTTTCTGAAATAGTAAAATTATTGTTCCGGAAAGTTTCCGGAAGTATGTTTCTTATATAATTCCGGAAAGTTCTTTTCGGAACATTAAATTTAGTATTCTAGAAAATATTTTCCAGAATTATGTAACAAGTATATTTCTAAAAAATACTTTCTAGAATAAAAAATTTACTATTCTTAAATGTACTTTTCGGAACAAAAACTTTATTATTCTAGAAAGCACTTTCAGGAACAAATATTGAGAAGAATTACTTGGAGGAAAAATTCATATAGTTTGACACTTTTTCCTTCAACATTGAACCCGTTTACAACTTATAACAAAACCAAAAAGGAAAAAGAATAATGTAGAAATTGAAAAGGGAAGAAGGGGAGGTAAGGAGATGTAGAAAAAAATAAATAAAGAAAAAGAAACGGGATACACAAAGAAGAAAGAAGAACGGTGAGAAAAAAGATGTGAATCTAAAAAATTATAAGTTAAAAAAATATTGAGGATAATTTAGAAATTTAATATTTTTATTTAAAAAAAAAGTGTATTTTAGGAGATCTTTATCCACGAGTATTACATTCCATTGTTGACCAAAGTTTTTTAAACAAGGTTTTTATGTTTCCCTTTTGAATAAAGGAGACATTTAAGTATTTGACATAAAAATAATAATAATAATAATAATAATAATAATAATAATAATAATAATAATAATAATAATAATAATAATAATAATAAAGGAGAGAGAACATGATCTAAACCTTGTTGTGTGGATAGATGTACACACCATTCCATTTTGAGGCCATGTGAGATAATAGGTTGCCCTGAATTCGTTGATTGGATTCATGACCAAATTGAACATTAGGCATTTATGTTCATAGAAGGTTTGTTACATGTAGGTGATTATGGAGGAGCAAGATATAAATAAAATCTTTATATCCTCAAAAAAATAAAATATTTTTCATCTTTGGGTTGTTTGAAGAATAATGTTTGTTGCTTTTTCTATTTAGAAGATGTAAAAGGAAAGGCCTAATGTTACTTTTTAAAAAAACTAAAATCAATGTTTTGGATTAGTAAAGATTAAACAGTTAACATTTGACACTAACAGAAAGCTGTAAGATATTATTTATTCTTAATAGTGCCTACTGAATTATAAGTTTAATGATGAATTGAAAAAAAATCTATATTAAAAGGGATAGATGGTTGAGAATATATCTTCTTAACCGTCTATATATCTTTTAATCTATCATCCTTTATTTTTATCTCTAAATTAAATTTAATAGTTTTTTTTACAAAACTTTTTTTAGTAATTTTAATTAATCTTATATCACAAATTAAATTATTAATTATAAATACAAAAAAAATATTAAAATATTTTTTATTATAATATAATTTATGAATTTAATTTTTTTGAAATGAAAAAGTATACTTTAAAAGATAAAATATACTCATAATTATTGATTAAAAAAATTAATAATTAATAATCATGATAAAATCAAATAGATGTATAATAAAATATAAAATTAATTATAATATATATTGTTATTTTTTAATCAATAGTTATTGTATTTTATTTTCTAAAAGCTCAATTTTAGTAGAGTCAAATCCATAATTTATATATTAAAAATATTTAGTTGTGAAATTTTAGTTATATAAAAAGTATTTATGTGTTTAATTTAAATTATCAAATGTATCAAGTTAGTGTAATATTTTTTCTTGCTTGAACGGGATTAAATTAAGTTATATGCATTAGATAATCTAATCTTGAACACTGATTTGGTCTTATGTGAAAATGATTCACACAATGTCTTTTTTGTAAGATGCTTATCATCTTCCTTTATGATAACAACAAAACACCGTTCTAAGGTAAAAATAGATACGAGTTATTAATGAATATCATTGTGAATCAACAATAGATTATTATAATCAATAATTTATTATTTCAGTAAAAAAAATCAATAATTTATTAATTAACTTAACAGGTCTAATTGGAGTAATCTCGAAGATTAGGTCACCCTGCGCATAAACATTCGCCAATAAAATTATGCCACGTGTCCAAGTTACATAGCTTCGGCCAATCGCGAAGAAGGCGTGACGCTATTCTCGAGTATCCACTAATTTAATTGTAGTTGTTGATTATTGAAGTTGAACAAAATTAGGTTTGCTAAATATATAAATAAATAAAACGGGGAAATAACGAGAAACCGTGTTTCACTCAGATCGCACATTGACGAACTAGAAAAAAATAAGGTTGGAGAAGGCGCTGCCGGAAGTGAACACCGTCTTTCATTTTCCGGCGATCTCTTCTTTCTTCCATTATTTTCCGGCGATCCCTTATCCCTGCAACCAAACATGGTACTTCATTCTTTCACGCCTCTGCTTCGTTGACTTTCGCTCTCTCGATTTAGATCTGATAGTTTCTCTATCTTGTTTTTGCGTCGCCGACATTGGTTTTCCTTTTTCTTTTTCTTTTTCGTATCACTGATATCTGATTTGTCGTGTTTGAAATTATCGAGGAAGGAATTATAATTTAATTTGCTTTAGGAATTGAATTTACTCGATTACTCCAATCTCATCGGATTTCTGCAATTGAAATCAGGAGGAAGTTGTCAGAATTAGGTCAAATTCTTTTTCTATGGCAACAATTTTGCTAACGAAGAGGTTTTAGTGATCTTATTATTTACTCGTCGAATTAGTTTCGGAATTGTGGTTATTAATGCTGATTGTGAAATTTTCGTTAGCTTATGGATATGATCTGGTGCCTGTGTTGATTTATTTTGTTTATTTGGTTTTGCAATGTTAACTGAAATTGGAATGTGGAATTTGTGTAGACGACATCAAGGCGCCTTGCGGACAGGAAGGTGGAGAAGTTTGAGAAGAATATCACCAAGAGAGGATTTGTGCCAGAGACAACTGCTAAGAAAGGAAAAGACTATCCTGTTGGTCCAGTGCTGCTCGGTTTCTTCGTCTTTGTTGTCATTGGATCATGTAAGGCTATCATTTAATTGTTTTCAAAAGTTTGTTTAAGGAAGAGAATGAAAATATAAATCATTTTTCAAACCAAACAGTCCTTAGTGATATTTGTCCCTATTCCTGTCCTTGATTGTAAACATTTGTTGTTGCTGGATATATTTTGCATATTAAGAGTTGGATTTGGATCTTTTCATGTAGAGTAATATGGCAATAATGTTTGATCTTCTCATGTTATTTAATTGTGAGAACAGGATGCTAAAAAATGTTTGACAGGTATACAATTACACACGAAAATAAGCAAGCAATCATTATCCCTTATATTGCTTCAGTTAATGATATATGATGTCTTGTATTCCACAAAATGTTGGTGGTTAACAAGATCATTCATACGCCTTTATAGCCAAAGCACGTGAATACCAAATTTATAGCTGGAACCCTAAATTGAAGAGGGGAATATTTTCTGATGTCCTCTTCCAAAAAAAATGTGAATTATTTTGATTGTAATTCTTCTTGTTGAATGAAAATGTGAGGTCTTGCATTTGTAACAAAAACACTTCTGTTTGTTTATGTGTGCGTGTGAATTTTTTATAAAGGATTAGAATTAGACCTAGTGTAGGGAAGGGACGGGTAT